GCTGGATTGGATAAAGCAGCTCGAAGCGGCGCAGCCGCAGGACGAGGAGCAGTAGACATTTTCCGTTTCCTTTGCTGCAGCCCGCAACTGCTGCGGCTGCTCAGCGAGACAATCATTATGCTGCAGACTACGGGGGAGGCTGTTGTTGCTGCAGCGGGAGCAGCCGATGCAGCAGATGCTGAATCGCAGCAACACCAGCGCCCCCGAGGTGAAGCAACTGCAACATTGAAGACACACTCGAACAGTTTGATCCTTGCTGCTGCTGCTGTCGCTCGGTGCCTGCAGTATCGCAACAGCAGTGCCCCGCAGGTACTGCAGGCTTCCACCAAGATGCCTTTAGTGTTGCTGTTGCTGCACGTGCATTTTGCTGCTGTTACCACAGCTGCTGTTGTACTGCGTCTGCTACAACTGATTCGGTGATTCCTGTTGGTGGTGCTGCTGCGTGCTTCAGGTGCGTTGGGGTGTGCTCGCTCTACTTGCTCGGCTGTATGACTCAGCTGCACTTTTCTTTTCGCGGTGCAGCGGCCTTCCAGTAGCAGGAAGTGCGACGGGGACCTTAACCACAGAGCAGGTCAGACTGATATTGATGCTGAAACATCTGACGCTGCTGCAGCACCAGCAGCGGCAGCTGTTGCCCAAAGCGGGCCGCGACTTGTGCCACGTCACACAGCAGCACAGCACAGCTGAAGCGGTGCCGGCGATTCGCGGATTGTGCTGCTGCGTTTAACTTCTGCTGCTGCTGTCTTACGGGTTGCGCTGCTGCTGCAACTACTGACGAGACTTCAGGGATTGCTGCTGCTATCGTTCAGGTGCTGGTGCTGCTCCAGTGCCATTTGCTTCTCGTAGAGGGTTGTACGCAGCGGCAGCTGTCCGAAGGTGCAGGGCAAGCAGTTGTTGCCTCTTTTGGGGTCAGCATGCCGCAGACAGCAGCAGCAGCTGCTGCAGCTGCAGCAACAGCGACGCGCTCCCCAGCTGCTGAGCAGTTACTGCGAGATATTCAAAGGG